GATGTCTCAAGGGTTACCGCATTACTTTTGAAACAATATAATACAAGTAGCAGTGTTGTAGTCTTGAACGGAGCACTTATTTAGTCTGCCAGCTTCTGTTTCTGACGTGCGTCACCAGCCGTGCCGAAACAAAAACGTGGTTGTCGGTGCAGAGTACATACACACATGCATCGACTTCATTCCCATATAAGGAGACTCCCACAACGGGTCCCCGTCGTCAGCGCTAGTTTCATCTGTTCTGTGCAGCGGCGCGAAGCCTACTTTGAATCTGGTCAACCAATAGCCTTGCGAAATTCGATAAGGTAGAGACTGATCAGAGCATGTGGGCAGCCAATCTACGTGCACGACACCGGGCGAACACTGAAAGGTCAGGTTCTTTTTGCTTAGCACTGCATTACCGTTCCCTACATTTCTGAGACGCCCACCCCGGTTATGCTCGCTTCAGACTTTCTGACAGGAGCGATAGCCTTCACTGCGTTGCACGACGATGCTAAGGCGAAACCATGATCCATGCTCAATCTCCGTGCACGTGTATTTATTCGTACTGGAAACGCAGCGTTATGGGTTTATATATATTGCATCCCTATATGGCGAGAACCAGGTTCGAAACGCTTCGCTTGTGGCTGCATTGCGAAATATTCCGAACGAAGGTATGCCCTGTTGTTCTAGTTTTTTTTTTTTGCCTGTAGAATCTAATGTAAAATGCACCACGCTCGAGGCAGTCAGCACCGTTTTCTGAAAGACGTTGACACATACGCTCTCTTTCTTCCATCGAAACAATACTATTTCCTCCGGTAGCCCTTGTTTTTGAAGAAAAGCAGTAACCTTTTTATTGTGGTGTCGCCCGTTCTGAAATCAATATTTTCGTTTCAAATACCTACTCACTTTTTTTTCCATTTCATGCGTTCATCGTACAGTAGGCGTTGGCGTACTAGAACAAAACACTCTCCGTTTTCCTTTATTTCTTTTTTAAATGTGAAGAGTTGGTATACATTTTACAGCCACGATATTTGCCACTGTTCTTAGTTCGTCAGAAAAAAGGTGAAAGGGCACGTGATCTTTAGGTTCCCTCGCAAAAGATGTATCTTTATTACGCAAATGCAGCGAGTACAACGAATTTAACATGTCTCAGAATAGAATGGGAGCAGCGATGAAAATGTTTGTCACTGCAAAGTGCCTTTTTACTATGAATTGGTTTCGGCTTTGAATGTCTAGTAATAAGAGCAACTTCTTCGTCGCATTATTCTGCAACTTGTTGTTTATACTTGTTATTTTTTTCGGGTAAATGCATCGGCTGTATCAGAACCTAAAGGTTGCCATGTTGCATCAGGCTATACGTTGCCCTTGGTGTACTAAAGAAAATGCAGTTCATGTTTTTCCTATTTTTCTCTCTCTTTTTCACGCTGCATGCATCAAAACTATTTGCCTTGTTATCTTTTTGTTTTTGTGTCATTAAAAATTTGATGGTGTGCTAATATTGTGGGATCAAATTTCGGGCAAGGTGACGTTGATAGATAGATAGATAGATAGATAGATAGATAGATAGATAGATAGATAGATAGATAGATAGATAGATAGATAGATAGATAGATAGATAGATAGATAGATAGATAGATAGATAGATAGATACGCTTAAAGACGCTGAAGTTTGTTAAGAAATGCTTCGCATTTTATTCTCTTGTGCTAAGCGAAGAAAAAGCTTGTCGCTGGCCGACGACACATGTGGGCTCGGCGCTAGAGTTCCAGGCACTCACGAAACCATTCATGTGGTAAAGCGCACTTTAATTCGTATCGTGATGGCACACTCATGGACACCAAACTGTAAGGCTCTGACGAGGAATGTCGCCGCCGCTCAAAGAAGTTGCAGCACTCATAATTATTTTGGAGGTGGATACGGACTTTGAAAGCCTTGTTTCGGGGCTGAATCCACAATCTTCGTAACGACAGCGTATTTGAAAAGCCGTGGTTTTACGCAGAAAAAACGTGTGTAGGAAAATTTGTGCGTAGAAGAAATGTATCATTTTTCTTTATTCACAACATTAAATTAGTGGTTCGAGTCAGTTTGAAGAATTTCAAACCATATTCACAATATCATCCTGCACTTGATGGATGTCTTTGATTTCAAGCAGGAGCAATGCCGAAGTAAAAAAATGAAGTATGCTAGTACTTGTATTCTTGTGTTTGTATCCCTGTACCTCTACACCGGAAGTCTTTTTTTTTCTGCTTTTGCAAAACTTTTAACAAAAGAAAGCTTTATCTAAACTTTCTTATGTATGGTCATGATTCGAAGTGTGCGTGGGGCTGTCGCACATTTTTTCTGAAGTGGCGAGTTGACTGGATGCCCACGTACTTCTCGATCTTAATCTCGGTTGTTTTTCGTATCTTGCCCTTTATATTCTTTTAGGTAGAATAAATAATATATCAAGTTAGGGAACTTGTTGTTATCACACAAATATTGCTCACAGGCACCTCAGTATAGACAGGTTTTGCACATTAGCCACCCTTATTAGCCATGCCCTTTGTTGTGTTGCTTTACTTCCAGTGTGTTTTCTTGCCGCAATATACTTCTTTCTGCGTTAGTGAGAGCTCGGCATCCCTACATCTTTTGTTTCATCCAGTCTTCACTGTCTTCATTTTTTTTCTAATCGGGGAAGACAGATTTCTATTTTTTTAAACTTTTAACTTCCACGGCATGACATCGACGTGCTTTTAGCCACAAAATACTGTTCTTAAAACTATTGTTCTCGCTTTTTAAGTTGACTTGCTTAGAAGAAAAAGACAAAATGCGTATTTGTTTTGACATGTACTTCGTCATTTTACTAGCTTAACGCCATTTCTCTTTTTTTTTTGTCGCTCGTCGCTTTTCTGATTTTGTAGAACCGACAATTCGGAAATGAAGTTTTATCTTTCGTGTCAGCATCACGGCTTTTTTAATATTGCGAATTTTGTGATTTCTCAAGCCTTTTGCCGACTCAGATATATATTGGTGAACAAAGAAAAAGGTTAATTAAAAAGGTTTCCCTCTTTTCAGAAAAAGTTCAGCGAGCTGTAGCTTTTTTTCCGAATGATAGGTTACCGAAGGCTGACAATGCAGCGCGTGGAACTTGAAGCTGCACGTGACACAAAGGTTGTTATTGATGTGCTGCTGCTTCCCCCATTAGCTGCATTTGTTTGAATTATATTGCAAGAGGGCACAGGCACGCCACCCGAAGTGTTTTCTGTATAACAAGGAGCTTTCACGTTCTATGTGTGTTTATCGCGTCAGCGCTATAATTAGGCACGCTTTCTCTTTCTTGACAATTCAGGAACAAAAAAAATATTACCCTAAAGAAGCAAACATTGAAATCTTGCACGAGCTTTTGGCACCTCTATGGTCCTGTGCAGGCAATCGATGACGCATCTTAGTCGGGGGCGAGTGGTCTTCGAGAAATCATTCTGATTTCTTTGACAGAAAAAGACAAAAAACTAAAAAATAATTTCTTATAGCAAAAAAGCAGCTTTTTGAATAACATATGACCACGCTTTCAGTTGGGCCTCTCTTCCTGTGTTCCATTTTTTTCAGAGCTTTGCTTTGCCTTTTTATTGAGCTGTCAAGACTTAACTGAAGCTGTACCAAGTATTCCACGCATGGCATCGCAATAATAATAAAAGCTCTCGCATTCACTAGGCTCGTCGTCTGGTTCAATGGTAAAACATAATTACGTTTATGCAACACTTAATTAGTAACTTGTCTTTTATGTACGTGAATAAATCATATTATATATATATGTAAGCTCCGACAGAGTGGTAGTACAAAGGTCTGCCATTGCGATTGTTCTCCTGAGCTTCAGCAAGAGAAGAAGAGACGACAGCAAGCAAATTCACTCGTCTGCTCCTTCCTTTCAGCCGTGGGGGGGGAGGGATGAACGTGTACACATACACGGTGATTAGGAAAGAAGTTGCTGAATAGGGAAACACAGCTCTGCATATAGCGATGAGGCTGCATCCAGTTACTTGGACGGGATAAAAAGGTGGAGGACATGCTGCTGACGTCTGTCTTTTGTTGATAATAATTCGTCTGTTCAAGCTTCCACTTTCTCACGAACTTTTCCCTTGTTTGGTTTCGTTGTTATAAGGCAAACAAACATTGTTACTGTATTGCCGTTTGTTACGTCATGAAATTTTTGCCAATAAATGTTTCCCAAGTGCCACTTGGTGGGATTGGCTTCTCCTCTTGTGAAGTAGTTGCGCAGAAAAGCACTCTTTACAATGAGAGATAGTAGGATTTTAAAATATTTCAACAGAGCTAGAGCTTCATTTTGTGATTCGTTGTGAGTCGCTGTATAGCTGTTCGCACACACACACACCTCACAAGCCACACGTGCGTTATTTGTTCCGCTTGGAAAGAATGCTAGAACGAGGCTACTGTCCAAGTCAGGACTGACAGGCCAACACAATTTGGCCATGGAAAATGACTCAATGTGCTTGTTCACTCGTAAAAAAGAGAATTGTTGACTTTTCAAGCGTCCTTGTTACCAAACCGTTTGGCTCATTACTCAATGAGAGTCCCGTATTGCACACAAGATACGGAGATGAAGAGAACTAACAAAGCGACAAAATTGATTTTCACCTGAAATGGGTGTCTCAATGTGTAACACCAACACTCTTTACATTCAAGAGCAAGCCGCTATTTCTGCTTTTGTACGTTTACACAATACGCCAAAAATAACTCAACATAGCTCGTTGCTTAGCTATAGTTGATGCATATTTAATGTAAAAATATGTAATATAAAAAAGGAAGGTCATGAAGGGTAGACACGAATTGAAAGTTACAGACACCAAAGTCTATCTAAATTCCCGAGGAAATCGCAGTTAGAGGTGATTGCTTTAACACGTAAGGCGGCACTAATAAGGAGCCTGTGTTTATTTGTCATGTAATAAAGGTTTTCCTTACTGTTTTGCCAGCTGCAGGTGGCAACAGAAGAATTGCCCTACATAATAAATGCCCCTTTCGCCTGCAGGACTACTACGACGAGATCAGACAGACGCAGCTTCGAGAGCTTGCACTTCTCAAGAATGACCGCAAGAACGGGGTGGCCTCGGCGGTGTCCCTAGAATTGTCGCCTTCATTATCCCAGGCGTCCCTTACTGCTGCGCCACCAACCACGGCGTCACCTCCATGTGGCAACGAACTAGTCGTGGTCAACGGTGGCAATAACGTAAGTATTAAAAGTGTAGGTTTAGTGAAGAATAGGAGCCTCAGCGCATTGCTTTGCGCCTCAGCGCCTTCACCATCGGCATAAGCTCGTGATTTAGCCGTCTGTCCGAACGCTGCTGACCTTAGCGTTTCTTGTATATACATTAGAGAGAACTCTAGCGCTAGTGTCTATGGTAGCTGCAAAGCATGGCGCTTCAGCGAGCACGGGAATCATTGGTAGTACACGGATGTGCATAGCCTTCGTACTTTACGTTTCTTTTGCTTTCGCGTGGCTTGAAGCTGCTTTGTCACGAAAGAACAGTCGGCAAATGTTTAGCAGTTGGACTTCACTACCTTAAGCTTTCAGGCTTACATTTTTGAATTAATTCACGAACTTAAAATGGGTTCGTTCAAGCCAAATGCGTTGCGAAGACTAGGCAAAATCTATGTACTACTCATCTTTTCCATAATCGCTGAACGATCACCGAGACAGAGTCCCCTCTAGTTAGTTTTTCGAAACTGTCCCGCTAACCACTTCTCGTTCCGGTGTGTTCTCTGCAATGAACGAACTATTCACTCCAAAAGGTATAAAAACCACATTTTTTTATTGATCAATTGGTGGCAAGCAGATAGGCAGCAGAAACTGGAAAGGTTAGCCAAGTTAAGGCACGAAAGGCTGTGCTAATTGAAAGCAATAAACTAACAAATATGGCGTGTTACTTAGATAATATGTTGCGCACGCCCAAACATACACTCTAACAAGTTTTCCAGAGTAGCACATTGCACCCCCGAAAGACAAGGGAATAAGAAATGATAGAGAAATAAAGGCAGGGAGGTTAACCAGTCCAGGAAAGCCGGTTTGCTATCCTACGTGTGGGAACGGGGAAGGGGACATTGAAAGAGGGAGATGAAAAAGTGAGAAAAAAATAAATATAGTTCAAACAGCACAGAAACTTGCATGCAGTCGGTTACATGTCCACCAAAATCTCGTGTTACGAGACATCACTGTCACAGCCACTTGCCCAAGTTAGTTTTTCAGATGCAAAGAAGCTCTTTGACTAGCCTGTGTAACACTGTTTCGTGAGTCCACACGATCACCTCACCGCAGGTGTTGGAGCAGTACCATGTAGGTCAACTCGCAGCTACGCATTGACGTCACTGTCTCCCTCACCCGTAGCAATGGCCAGCTCCTCCACCCGCTCGCTACAAACTTCTCTCTCGCTTCACCTCCTCCCCCACCTGCAATCCACTAACGCACGTCAAGTGAAAACAACAGACTGATTTAGTTGCGCGTCGGCAGCAGTCGTAAAGACGCGGCCTGCCATTGCAAATAGCTAGGAGACTGCGCCAGTATGGTGGCTGCGGACGCGTGACTGCTGTGCGCGTCGACGGTTGTTTTAACGAGGTCTATGTCGTGCGCACCTGCTGCTGCTCCAAATCTCATCAGGGTTCCCTTCGGGTAGACGGTCCATTCCTTATAAACTTCAGGAGTTTCTTGGTCGCTTTGAGCTACGAGGTCTTCTGTGGACAACACTCAATAAACAAAGTGTGTGCTAAAGTTTGCATGTGGCACGGCAAGAAGGGACCATTCCTCCCTTGTGGAGCAAAGCGCCTTTCTTCTCTAACAATATCCGTTGTGCAGATTAGCTCTGTAGGCTTCATATCACGACCAAGAAAAGTGGTTGGTGAGTTAAATGTGAATTGCATACTAAGATACTCAACTTTTAAAGGTTTAGCCACGATGGTATTTTACTGGTTATGTCACTGGACTGCTTCCCCAAAGCTCAAGGGATGTTAATGCTAATTGCCATGACCGTTTTTTAGGTGTGAACAGATTGCTATGTATCTGTGTACGTGGATTCAGTTGTTCGTTACGGGCGCTCATAGTGTCGATGTTTCCGTAATCGATCATACTGTGTACCTCATATTCTTATCGTAGTTTTTGACATTACATATATATTCTCTAGCAATCATGATTGCCAAATGGTCCTGGAATACTTTCCCGTCTCCGTTCATCGACGTGGTGCACTTCGCAGGCTTCTGTGCTGCAGGAAGCGTCTTCGTCCTGCCACTCTTCACCACCCACGCCTCCTATGCACCCGGCACTGCGAACTGGAGTGCCCGGCCTGGTGCTTACGGCCGACGGCCTTTCGCAGCTTCCGCCACACATTCAGGTTTCTTCAACAGCGGCGGGCCTCACCCGAGGCGTGGTCGCCCCACCAACGACAGCGGCGGCCGTGTCCGCCGCAGCTGCAAAAGCCGCCTACCTGCTGCACGGATCGAGGGTGCTGCCCGTGCGGCTGTCACGGAAGGGAGCCCTGCGAGCTGCTGCGCTGACGCTGGGCCGTGCGGCTGCGGTTGGAGCTCTGCGGCATGGCGCTGCCGTCGAGCTCATTTCCGCCGATTGCGCTGACGAATTTGTAAGTCGTCTATTGCGGTTAAGTATTTTCGCATTGTATCACATTATTAGCCGCTACAGTGGTACATACAGTGCTTAAGGGATTGGCTGTTGACCCAAAGGTTGTGGGTTCGATTACGTGCCCGGAGGTCGTTTTTCGATTCTGGCGATGTGATTGACACCCTTTTTCGTATAGTTAACTTGAGGGTAAAGAGCTCCAGGTGGGCGAAGTTTTCAGAGCCCTCTACTGCGGTGTGCTTCACAATCATATAGTGGTTTGGCACCGTTCAACTCCAGATAATATTACGTTTGCTGCTTGAACCGTACTACCAGTTAACGTTAGTACAACTTACCTAGTGCAAAATGTAAAATTGCTCAAAATGCGTACAGCGGCTTCTTCAAAGCAAGCGGCTGTCCCGCACTTCAATGTACCCTGGTTTACTGCCCTGAAAACCACTACAAGGTTCTCGACTGCGAATGATTCAGTCTCACAAATGTATACTTTATTTTTCTGCAACGTGCAGTCAGATGATCGAGAGGTTTTCCTGTCTTTTTTTTTTTCCTGTACCATTTAGTACCCCTGAAGCAACGTTCTGGAATTGCTGTTTGTTTTGAATTCGTTCTTTGGTTAGATTTGAGCAGTAGTTTTCAATAGTCGCTCTAATTTCTCCTTGTTTTCGACACATGGGCTTAACCCTGGCATGAAAGTTTTATTCATTCTCTGAGGACCTCAGCATCCCCGAACATTTTTGATGTTTTCCTAAATGCAGGATAGCAGCCAGAATTCAGCTGCTTTTGCCCCCAGGCATATGCTTCGTATGCTCGATTGCTTGAAGTCGTCGTACCCGAACGTAGTCAAAGGGCTCTGCACTGCACCGAGTTATGTTCTACGCTACAGAAATATACAGTTGCCACATCTGCGCCCTCCACAAATAATTGGCTTCGATATAATGTTACAGTAGCAGCTCGTTAATGCGAAACATTGCATTCAGGCGTATTCTCTGGCCCAGGCGACCATATACTTGGTTCAAAGGCATTAAGCTCTTGGGGATTCGGTCATATTGAGCTGCCACCCTGAGTGATCCTCGGAGCGCACTGAGGGTAAATCGATGCAAGTTTGCTGTCACATATCGCCTCAGTATGACTGTGATCGCATCGCGATTACGCTCCTCTCGTGGGGCTAGGGTAGTCGATTGCCGGGAACTGAAATCATGTTTTATCTCTCGTAACATAACCTTGCGGGACAAATAAAAAAAACTGCATTCGAAACCATCGTAATGGCTTTGAACAGTCATAAAGGCGTGGTTGCCATTCATGTGGTATTGGTACATCGTAAGGTATGGAATTACAGCACGTTTAGGATTAAGACACGGGGGCCTTCAGCGACGTCCAAATTGTGAACAATGTAACAAACGAAAAAAAATAGAAGCTTTTATTTTGATCTTATGAAAGTAATCACTGAATTGACTTATGCACTAAGAAACCTAATGTAAATTGATGTAAAGAGCGAAAAGCTCTTTATTGTTATTTTTATACTTCAGTGAATTAGGCTTTCGGTTAACTCACGCATTTGTTTCTCTCTGTAAAACCCGAATTGATGAGCTTTTTACTGCATGTATATTTTTATATGTGACGTGCAAGTAGGCAAGCAGATACTTTTGTAGAGCTTAATACTCAAGTCTGATTGCAGCTGCTTCACTTTTTCTAGCAATCCTTTTATGATTTCATGTAGGTATAAATACTAATGATAACACGGTATTCATGATTTTTAATGTATTTCTTTCATTTTTTTCAGCTCTACGGGGACGAGTATCCGGATAACAACTTTGATGGCAATGTCTACGAGCAAGCTTTCACTACCATCGAGTAAGTGGTGGTGGTAAAAACTTCATTTTTCCTTTGGAAAGCAAAGAGACAATGGGACAGAGATGAGGAGATGTTGCTACACTCGGTAGACCCCACAACCCTCTCAACTACCGCCATTTGCTACTCTCTATGTTGCATGTTTGAGAGCACTGAGGCGGAATTCATTTTTGGTGTGTAATCTATTTGTTTAAGCATCTGTAGGACTAGCATTGATGATGCGTTGATTGGTTTTTATATTACTTTTTTAAATATAGAAAGCAAGGCTACGATAGACCCGGTTACCCCAACATCATCGTAGTATTATAGAAGGTGTACACCAAATGTGAAAAAATTAAGAAGAATAAAATAAGAAAAAGTTACATCATCTGCGGCTGAAGGGAACTTGTGTAGATGCGACGCAGCAGGCTTTAATGCTTACACTGTCTGCGACGTTGATGCTGGCCCTCATCGCTTGGTTGTACAGGAGAGAAACCTGGGGAGACGCAAAGCTCACAGTGATTGACCGTTGTTTCCCACTGGAACATGGTAATTGCTGCTAATGGATAGTGAAAGACAGAAGACTCTGACTACACACAGAGACCAGCAGTCCGCTTTTAGTTAATGAACACATTGCGAATTTTTATTGTTCAACAATGCACTGCTATGGAAAAATCTCCCACCGGCACTACCTCGGAGCTCGAGATCGAGTGCCTACATATACAGGGTAGTCAGTGTACAGTTGTGCAGTGCAAGCAATCGGTTTTTCCATCAAGGCTGTTCACTCGATGTGCGCTCGAACTTTGCGAGCAGTGGAGAGGATGAAACAAGAGAGATGAGGCGTGGTGAGTGGCGACAGGCTAGGGAGAGAGATGAGGCGTGGCGAGTGGTGACAGACTATAGAGAGAGTGACGTGAATGCATGTGCACTGTGAGGCAAGGCGCGACCTACTTGGCAACGCTTCAACAGCTGTGGCCAGTGAAGCGTGGTGCGGACAGAAGGACAGTGTTAGGCAGGCTAGTCAAAGAGCTGCTTCGCATCTAAAAATATTTAAAGGCGCTGCTTTTATTGGGCAGCAGACCCTGACACAAGTTTTCAAGTGACCACATTAGTTGAAAACATGCAACAGAACCAATGAAGAAGTATCTCGGCTGCATACAGTTCAAGGATTAACTTGTCATTTCCTTGGGTCTTGTTGCAGGTAACTTGTAGGATGGTTTAGCAGGCTATTGCACCATATCTAAAATTAGATAGTGTCAACAGCATAAACATGTACAGGGTGCTCCAACCATTATTTGTCAGAATGAAAAAAAACTATTAGCTATATGCGAAGCAAAAATATAGTAAGTTACAACTTTAGAGGTCCACAGATTTTTCCTTAAAGAAGGATACACAAGAGGCACGCACATCAATGGTAATTTTATCAGCACGACACCTTCAGTGAACATGGGTGGGACTCTTTTGTTGAATACGGAGACAATAAGCTTTTTGGTCATTCAGGTGGGGCACCTCCGGCAATTATGCAACTGCATATTACCAGTACACTAAAGTAGCCACTAGTAAGGACCAATAAATTGGCTATAAAAATGTTTGAGAAACGTCTATAGGGTGTGTGTTGAAAAGAGTGCCGGAAAAAAAAGATGGAAGCTTGCGATGAAAAAAACCCATGAATTGGGCTTTTGTGCTATATTCTACGTTCTGACAAGTTGGCTTGTCTTCTTCAAGGCGAGACCATTTCTAACCTTGAATGAAAGAAGTCAACTTATCGAACATCTGCTTGAGGACACAGCCCGTTTTTAGGGACTCTTAACCCGAAAATGTTTTACAGTAAAACGCAGAGCTGGGTGAGTTGGTATGTATCCATATTTTTACTTTATTTAGCGTGCTCAGAAGTCAAGGGCTAGCAAGATAGGGACACACGAATGCGCATGTTTTATGCTATGGTTCACCATGAGAAAACTGGCGTGGGCTTTCTCTCATTGTTAAAACCATTGAGTCAGTCAATTTACAGTGCCTTCTCAGAATACTAAAGGAGTAGCTATTGTAGGTGTGACCGACTTACATTTATTTGCAGGGTGTGCAAAAATCTACAGGTATCTCGACTAAACAAACGTGAAGGAACGCGTAACCACGAGAGAAATTCGTAATCACGCTCAAATAAAACTAAATAACGTGGGGCCAACTGAAATACACGGACGAGGGGCTCCCGTTTCCTGCGGACTTACTTATTTCTCAACGTGCAGCTTCATATCTTCCAGCACATTTCGATTTCTGATGACATGGTTATCCAAGCTCATTTCGCATTGTGTTCAGAAAAAGTGGGTGATGATTTAGAGCACAAGGTACTCTACTATGGGAAAGCTTAGAGCATTCTCTAAGTTATATTTGTCCAATTTCTTTAAAGAAAGAAAATTTGTGCCTCCATGTCAGAAAAGGGTGTGATTTAGCACAGTACTTACTATGGGAAGTTAGAGCTTTTCTAAGTTTATGTCAATTCTTAAAGAAAGAAATTGTGCCTATTTGGTTGCTCTTTATTCAGTCAGGTTTCTCTTTCCCATGTTGCCACAAGAATTTGAGCTCTAATGGTTACCATTATAGTAGCTCACCTGCAGAATTGTTTTTAAAAACTGCTCACATTTCTTTTAGCAGCGCTCATTTTTTATTGTTGGCAGACGGTATGACGGCCCACACCTATGAGTATTGAGCTGTAGGAGAGCGAGGCTGGGAAAATACACCAAAGGAAGTTCAAATGCTAAAGCAATCATTGCCTCAGCTGGCACTCGCTGTCACTAGAGTGGTTTTCTATCCCCATTTCTTCCCCCTACCTTCAAATTAGACTCAAATAAACAAATCTGTTTTTTGAAATATTTCTACGCCGTACTTGATCTATGGCTACTAGTCATACAAAACTATTGCTCAATGGACTACCGATAGCATCTATAGTTTTTAATACTCTCGCTAGTGTATGAACAATATCAATATTACTGCTGTTCATTAATATAGATGGCGTTATCCATTGTTCAATAGATAGTACTGTTGGTAACACTACTACAGGTAATCTTTTTGATAAGCTGGATGAAATGATAGATGGATGAACTTCATTAGGTCCTTCAGAATGTGCTTTAGCACGGCGGGGGCCTCTCTCAAGTGAGAGCAGAAAGACCAAATCTCTGCTGTGTCCGGCGCCCGCCAGACTGCACATAACTGTTGTTTGAGCCCAGAGATGCTAATAGCAGCCTCGTATTTGGAAGACATGATGATTTCACCGTGGCCTAACACGGGGCACCACCAGAGCTGTGTCATTCCTGAAGGTTGTATGTCGGTATAAACTGCATGGAACAACGCAGGGTTAAAGTATTCCTTGACCTGAAGAAGCCCGAGTGTCATAGCGTGAGATTTACTTAGTTTTGTCCTGTTTTCTCAGTTCATTATGCGATCGGAAGGGTCTAGGTTCTCCAAAACACCAGCGTCGCACCTCCTAATGGCTTCACGGTTTACAAATCATCACACAGCTAGGTCGGCTGACCCATGGAGATTAGGCAGAGCTCCCTCAATGCATCCCACTGGGTATCAGAAGATGCGATGCTCTGCGCCTTGTCACCGCATTTGCGACCACTCAAATTCTGTATGCGACACCCTGCCTACGTTCCAATTAAGTTACTGACTTCGGAGTGTCATTGTCTCTCTCTTGTTATATTACTTGCCTTTCTTTATTGTCTCGATCAGAATACCGTATTGCAACTTCAAACCTTATTTTTTATTAGTTTTTTGAAAATGACTCAAGGTGACCTGCTTCCCTGTCAACCGGTATAACTATTTTACAAGTTTAAAAACAAACCCTATTCTACACACTTTTTGTGTAGGTTGTTTTGTGAAAAGTAATTGTGCGGTTCTAAAGCTGAGGGCAATTTATTGATATTTTGCCCAATCGCAACCAACGAGACTTGTTTCTACTGCCCCTTTTATCTGGAATTTTGATGAAAGCAAGTTTCTTTGACCACAAGCTCACAGTACCTACTGTTGACCATCCTAGCAGCATGTTTTATATATTTTAATGATTTGTTTATGCGAGCACCTGCACCGCCACCAAGACAATGAATTGCAGCTTCGAGAGCAACTCAATAATAAATGATGTCAAGTTTTTTTCATGATAAAACTTCTAATGCCTTAGCGACTGATTTTAATGACCTAAAATTGTTCAGGACATTCCTGTGGTTTTTCACACTTTTCTACGTCCTTGCGGTTGTATTCTTCGGGTCTCTACTGACGTATTTTCATCACGGATATGTTGTTGTGAACATTTCTAATACCATCATAAAAAAATTACCAGAAGAAATACTTTTGCAATTTGGTAAAACCAGGAAACGAACTCATGACCCCCATAACATCTTCCATATATTCTCCAAACTCCACTTTTCCCAGGCTGTGCTCCCTTTTTCGTCCCTTTGTCTCTACGGTATAGAAGGCCGAAATGCAATGCCAAAGCATCTTTAGTATTGATTTCATGTATATTCTTTTTTTTCTTGTGAACCATGCATGGTGCCTAGTTGTTAGCATTTCTGCTACTTTTTGTATCCTTTTGTAACTTTCCATTCCTCTAAAAGCCAGTTGAACTACTCTGCAGAGCAAAAAATGAGCAGCCATATCTTGACAAAGCTGATGCCAACGAAAAAAGTGAGGGCCTCATTTCAATGGTTCTATTGGCATGTATTATATGCCAAAAAAAAAAAGACGTATCTTTGAAGCTGCTGTTGAACCACAGAGCTGAAGCTTCCAGCCTGCTTCAATTTTCAACCTTTTCCAGTTTTGTTCAGAATGTTTACAAGTCAATCTTCTGCACAAAAAAGCACCTGATTTTATGGCACACTACAGCAAAAACATACACAACGGATGAAAAGACCACAAATGCCAACGATAAGCTCTGAAATTTCAACAACTTTTACTGGGAATCAGCTCACATGCTTGTACTATGCTATGCTTGTACTTGCTATGCAGAGTTCATCTATTGTGCAGACGTTTCAAAGTCTTTCATACGAAAATAAATTGTGCATATTGCATCAGCCAGAGGTCAGTTAGTCTACAAAAGAGCGCATTTCAGGGGCTTCGCTGCCATCTGGAGCTGATCTTTGAATAGATTCGCATTCTGATGTGTGCAAAGGTGTGCTGTTGTTGTACTGGTTGTATGCTTATTTGAGTTCTCCATGCTCAGTTGGTACGTAATGAGTGCCCATTCTATTCATTTAATCATCGTTTTCTTGTCGGGTATGTTTCACACTTGTTTCTTGCAAGTCTTTTTGCTTTTGAGACAATGCACCAACACGGCCAGAAAATTTTTTCTTAACTGACAGTGTTCAATAATGAAATAGATAATATCACACATATTTGATGTCAATAATGATTATTGTGATCTGGTTTATTGTTGCTTTTCACAGAGAGCAGGGATTTCCCCGACAGAACGCAGAAGACATGCAGAACAATGGGTATGCCACGGATGCTGATTTTGCAGGTAAGTGCACAGATTTGGCATTCAGTTACTCAAATGTATGCGATCGAGATGCACAAGTTGACATCCAAAGAGGCATCCCCATATAAAACCAGGGCCAAAAAGATCGTATACACACACATTTGTTAACTAGTGAAAGATAAACAAAATAAAGAAAAACTAACTTCGAGCGACTCTTGAACACTTTGTGTGTGAAACTGAAATTTTTTTGTGATAGATTTTCTTGTGCATTAACACATAATTGCACATGGTGTTGCATACACTTAAAACCTACCTAAGCTTCCCAGGTGGTGGACACGTGCCAAGAGTGATACAAAGTTTTCGTCAACAAGATGCATTGTGTTTTTTCCTGAAGCTCTTCAGAGGAGCCAGAGAATTATACATAACCACAGTTGCTTAGCTATAGCACGTACCAGGTGTGACTCAATAAACCAGAAAACAATGTAGTTAATACATCTACAATCAGAAAATGAAACAACAGTATAATACAGCACACACTCAGCATTCATGATGACACAGCGTTAAATATTTGTGCGGTACTGCCGAGACGCCTCATTCCTGACAGAACTCTGTTGAACTGATATTGCGTTGTATATGTAGAAGATATTACTTTCATTCATTGTACTCGGTTCTTCAATATATACCTGATGTATTGCATATCCTTGAATATTTGTTTTATAGATTGTGTGTCTTTAAGATTCTTCCTTCGATCGTTTTTGAATGCATGCTAACGTATTCGCGCCCCTGTTTTGTTATTGACCACAGTGTTCTAAAGGTTATGGTGCATCACTGCTGACCTGAAGGCAGGAGGAAATAAGTACTAAAAATGGTGGCCCCTGTCTAATGTCAGCAAAACATTAAGAGGCACGCATGCCTAGATTTGGGTTTTGGTCAAAGAATCCTAGGTGTCAAAATTTGCAGAGGCCTTCACTGTGGTGTCTTTCATAATGAATTGTTGTTTCCAGATTCCGAGTTTAAAAAACTATCATCTCTTTTGTTTCATAGAATGGGCAGAGCCCGCACTTCGAACCCACTGCCATCTGCCAGCACGTCTGAAACCTTCTCAGGCGATGACTCGAAGACTTTACCGCCCGTACGGTCCATTGCCGTCACGGTTTTGAGTGTACATCCAACAAGTCTCTGTGGCAGCGTGGTGGATGACGACTGGAGATCTCTACAGTAAACCTTTGTAGTGCAGCCAAGGCCAAAGCTATCACAAGTTGTATATAGCCACAGTTCCTTTCTTTATTATTCATGAGAGGCCTACAGTGGAGAGCTTTGTACTTTGTGGGAATTCGCGGTGCATACCACCATTTCTCTTAGGAAGTGCACCATTAGTTACTCAGATAACTGCTTTAAATTACAGAACGAAGTCTTTTGGAAGAACTAGATTACGACATCAGTGTTGTCACTGGCAATGTGTCAAGTGCTGTCAAACAGATGCTGCGAGCTGTTTCGACAAAGCACTCCACTTCTGTAAATACTTCTCTGAAACACTAATCCTCTCTTCTCAGCACTAAAAATTCCCAGCTTAGAGTCGATTATATGGCATGAAGATGTGTATGAGCTGTTCAGCCATTAAGGTAAGGGTTTATCAGAACTGGAAGTGGCCGACGAAAGCATACCGAAAAATCTGCACATCTTTTTTTCTATGTGCTGTAGGCAATTTGTATGCTTTACTGCTAGAGGAAACTGAAGTGCTAGATTCACGTCAGGCTTTCAGCTCATATACATCAGTAATTAACTCTGTATGCTTTAGCGTGTACACTATGTATTTGATTGTAGCGGTGTAATATCCCCATGTTTGGTGCTTTCAATCCGCAGAAGCTGCTGCGTCCACAAAAAGTCTTTACTGTGAACCCCTCCTTTATTGCTTTACTTTATTTATGTGAATGAAGTCGGTGTTAAGTTATTTGGGAATATGGCATTGCATCAATGTAAGCACTGCGTTTCTTGTATTCACAACCTTTGCATTTTTAAAATTTTTGTTGCCACATGATTGAACATGTGGGCAGAATCACTGTCCTGTCAATATGTTTTTTTTGTTAAGTTCATGGTTGGTAATATTGATGAGACTGATGGCATTTATTATGAGTACACGTGATGTAAAATACCTGTATTCAGGATGGTCAAATCTCAATCACAATATATGCCCATTTCCATTGTTATCTGCATGTTTTACTGTGGTATGTGTATCATGCGAATAGCATTATATAATGCCGTACCCCACACATACTACAGTTCCATATGTGACATTCAAAGTATGAATGTTTGCATGCATGAATTGAAAAAGACAATGAAATTTATTACAATTCCTTACTTGATAGGGTGAAAGGAGTGGGAAATTGTACACTTTCACAATTGCACTGTATATGTATATTTATGATAGTAATAAGTATTAGTTTCAGAGCTGTCAACGGTGCTGAAGAGATGTCGGTGAAGTTGCTCTACTCTGCCTTCATGAGAGTTTGTACTGGAAGCTTTGTAAGACCGAGTGATCTATCTCTTATCCAATTCCACAAGACCTGCAAAGACTGAAACCATTTTTCTCCTGCTGACGCTTTTTTTATGGCCAACACTGTAGCGAAGAAGAGGTAGTATTGCCTTGTGCGCAAACCTTCACTGATTGCGAAAAAACGAACACGTGAAAATACTTGATAGCAGCTTTCGATCTGTTCTATGCCAATGACAGATAAGGAATTAACATGAACTGGGCTGTAGAGAAATAAGGAGTCTTAAAACTTGTGGTGTATACGTTGTTGAGGGTTCAGTTAAAACAGTTTGAGAAAATTTCCCATATGCGCAATTCATTTCCTGTTCATTCTGTATGAAAATCATAACTTTACTTTCCATAATGAAGTTATGTCAATGATATGAGCATCATTTGTTGGCAAGACTAAGCAAGACTACAATTTTTCTGGGCATTACAACTGAACTAAAGGCAGCAAATTGAGCATTTATCAACATCGACCACACTATTAGCCTTAAGATAAGGTAAGCTTTGGGCAATTGAGCAGTAACGTTCTAACTACTGGTACAATTGGATATGTGCAAGTGTAGACACCATGTTAAGCTTTCTGACTATCTCGAATTTCAAAAGATATCCTGTAGATTTAACAATATGTTGTACAAAAGTTGACAAAAGCAACTGAACCTCTTTTCCCTCGTTCAAATTTACACATCTGTTTGATATCTACATCACCTCTCAATATCGTCAGTAAAGTTTTATTATTCTCTAGTCAAGCTATTATCTCTAGCTTTATCATACATTTTGATTCAACAATGGCACTGCACTTGTTGACAATAGAGAAAACAACAGTAATATTTTGGATAATTGCAATTTTAACATATTAGGCTGAACCGGAGACACCACAGAAACAAACAGAAGCAATAACACTACACACACAACGAAATTACATTTTAATCACAAGGATAGCATCATTCTTTTTGTCTTCATTACGCTAAACCTACCGCTCATAATTCTATGTAAGGCGAAAAATGTCCTGGCAGGTTGTGTTGCGAATTTCTCCCTGACAGTTCTCAGGCAGCACACTTGCAAGAAACGTGAGCAGTGATGCCGGTAAGCATGAGAATCTAAGCCATAAGCACTGAGCCTAACTTTCGTTTATTCAAATAAGACAGCCAAGTGACGAATTTTCTTTCAGGGCCATTGCTTAATCGACTGGCCAGCTATCTTGCGACTTCATACAGAAAATCAACATTTGAGTTAACAAAATCAGTTGCTTTGTTTTGGTCAAGAATTGGATAGCGAAGCCGGTTTATTTTTACCTTTCCCTATTACTGGTTCTTGATAGTCCGGGACATATGTAAAACCTTTTCCTTCGTGTCTATTGTGTAAAAGTCAGTTCACTAACTTTCATATGGGAAATTCACTTAGCTTAAACTACACAACACAACAGTTAGATTTAAACATCATAAGTCAAAACATTGAAAATAAAGTGTCCTACGTATTCATTTTCTTAATACCTTAAGTTACAGATTCACTAAGAAGCTCATGTGAGTTGCATTGTCTTATGTATTACTTATTTCATAAATATTGACAAGCATTTTCTGGTAAATAAAATAGTAGCATTTATGAAGTGAACAATGAAATGAAGTTTTTATTTTGTGCAAACCCATTTCAAAATATCGTTTTATTTAGGAGCTCTATTCACAGGTGGAATGTCCAAACGAAGCATGAAATAATGTCTCATGTATCGCTGCGTTAAAACTTGTTGTCTCAATGCCACCAAGTTTGCAAATAATGAGTGGCGTAATTGTTGCTTTAGTTATTTTTCCTACTTTTAATTTGAATGCAGCTTCTCTTCACCCCTCTCCTCACTCAGGCTTATAACCATTTGAGATGTCGCACGCTTGCTTCTACAACATTATTCGTAATCGTAACTTTTTGCCTCAATGCCCTAAATCACAGTGCTAGGTAAGGTTTCTTATGTGTGCAGTTCCTACTTGAATGCTGCCAGACGAACTCATTATCACATTGAATGATTTTTGTGCATTTAGTTTTTAAGTTTTTTATTGCCTCCACTTTGGTGATATTTTTTTTGTTTCACACTGAAACATGAAAGCATGTTCAAGCGAAATTGCCATGACATCTGAAAACAAATATTCGGTGGTTATATGATTGTACAATTTTTCTAGAGCACTGAGTTGTGGTCATGAGTGGTGACAAGTGTATTACGTTGTTGCTACAAGGGTTTCACAATTACAATGACCGAAATTATAAGTTATGATGTGAACTTTTCTGATAATCTTCGTACTGCAAAGAAGCATTTTTCCTAATACCTATAGGCATACATTTTTCTGTATATACTGCCATGTATTAGTCTTGTGTGTCTAGAGTTGCTTAATTGTTTCCCCATCTGTGCCCCATATATTAGTTTTGCCTCTATTAAGACTTAATGCTATGTTTGCCCCAAAATGTTGTGTAAACAGCAGTATACACTTCGATAATCCAACATGAGATAGCGAAACACAGCTGCTGAAAATTGCAGTAATACGGAAAGACGGGCTACTCTGCACTGATCCCTGTGTTTCTATCGTATTTCTCCTTGTGTGCGTGTTTAATCTTCAGTATGCTGGAAGCTCACTGAGTATCAGTAGTCAATTGGCTATCCATTGGCTACCTCCAGAAGCAGGAGGTGATCAAATTTTGGAAGCCAGATTGTTCAAGAGGCAATCCATCCTTTGAACAGCTTGACATTGACTGTAGAGTGTTTTTCTGTATGTAGACATAGTCACTCTGTATGGTGCTGTTGCCTCTACAATCAAAGGAGTGCTTTGAGTTCTTGGTCTTGTTTTCTATGACGTCAGTTGAGAATTCATTAGGTTTTTACCAGTGATTATGTTCCTGCAATAAACATAAGTTGTCCTGTTTTCTTTCTTGTATACGGTTTCATGAACGTTGAATATTAGACCCTAAAATGCTATGTAGGCGTGTCTTCTGTTTTCCGCATGCTTATTAGGTGCAACCATTATGTATATGGTTATTACACCCAACAATAAGTTCATATTTGGCGCTCTTTTGAAGTGGCCTTTGGAATGCTAGTGTGAACCAGAGCATGTTACTAAAGCTTTTAATGACCTCAAAAACAACCTATGTAAAAACAGCTGGCTGAGATGTTTGAGCCTTCCATTTACACAGCAGTTGGTGTATTGTGAAATACAGAATATAAACAAGCTATCGTTTGAAGAACGCTGGCTCGTGGCCTACGTCTTTTGAGAACATCCAAGTAAAAGGTGGTGCCAAAACTTAGGCGAAAACACCTAAACTTTACTATAGCCTGATTATTTAGTATTTTTTTCGTACTTGTTGATTTTTACCTTTTATATTAACTGTCCTACTATAATACTAGCATAATATTTTCAATGCTCAGAGATAAAATCGCATTCAAGCACGGCTCACGTGCAATATGTCCCCTTTGACAGGCTTCATTATTTTTCTTGCAGCTGTCGGCATGCTTTCACTGTGGTGTCAAGCATTTATGCAATTTTTTTCAGTTAAATCATGGTGAGGTCAGTAAACAATAACCGGGTTGGACTATAAAAATTTCGAGTTTGTGAAATCTGTTTGCATTTCGTTGGCTGGCATTGCTCCTGTGATATCTCAACGGCCACTCTTTTTTGGTGCCTGGATGGTTGGTAACAACTTTATTTATAGTCTTGCGAATATTTATTGCTTTTAAAACAGTTTGTTGGACTGCCAGAAACTGCCACATGGTTAATATTTTTTCTAGTTTTCTTTCTTTCACTTGCATGCTTTTTGTTGACCACACATCCTATTGCAATGAAAACAAACAAAAAAACTCATTACCGACTGCACGGAAATGCTGCATCCTGCCGAGCAGGATAACTTGTCTAGCAGAGTTTCGAGAATTCTTATTGTAAGAGCCATGTCGAAAAGAAGCATATTCTCTTTGTTCACGCATTATTACAGCGGGTACCATTGCACAAGTTGATTATGCTGCATGTTATTTTAGTTGTATGCATAGAGAGGCATGCCTCATATAGTATTTTCATTAGGGGGTTGTTCGCAAAGGTTCACTCACTATTTGAGATTAGGGTTGTGTAGTCAAGTTCGATGGGCCATGCGTTTTGCTGGAAAGTGAAATCAAATGTGCGTCTTTATTTGAGACGTCGCGATTAATGCTGTAGGCAACTGGCTGTGCTTCTGCAGGACCAAAAAGTGTGAGCAGTCTGCTTCAGCACATTGTTTTCTTTTATGAAAATGTTGAAGTACAATGCTTTAATGTTTTGCAGGCTTTCATTAGTGGCTAATAATGTTCGTTTGGATTTAAAACTACCCGTGACGAAAAGGAATGGATACTATAAAATCTTAGTGGTAATTATTCAGTGCTTGAATCAATAAAACAGGGGATTGTGGCGACCCATCACTGTGACATAGGGTATGGCTGAAAATAGCGAGAAGGAAGGTACAGATACTAAAAACGCTTTACTAGTGCACGAATATAGAACAGTGGTTTCATTGTCGTAAATGCAAGCTTCGAAGCATAACACAATCTCGAAGCATAACATTTGTAAATTGCTGACCAATAATGAATCCTCCCACTCAAGCAGTTTGACGGAAAGAGGTTGTGCAACACAGTTTAATCAAAAACATGTTGAGTAATTTCTGGCATTGTCTGATCTTCAACATACGTGCTGAACACGCTTAAGTACACGATTAGCAATTCCTTGAATATTTTGAACTATCTTTTCCGGATTAGGCACCAGAAACAAGTCTTAGCAGTTCAAGAAATACTTAGGAAATCGCAGACCGGGTGCTTACAGAGGGTTCTGTGTGCATTTGAAGATTTATATTATTCTATTGAACAAATTGAATTGCTGAAAAAATAATCAACTTTTATGTCTCGCGACTGCACACGTACTCTGGTGTCAGGTGATGAGTTCGATTCCCTGTGCAAAGACGCGCTTTCTTATGCAGGTGAAATACAAAGTATCTCCTGTACTAAGCCGACGTGTTCGGCAACCAGCTACTGAGGACCATAAATTTTGAGTTTACAATGAACGACCGTGTATGAGACATAGCTATCATACTAGTGAAGGCAACAGCTTGGTCAATGTATCAATGAGTTCACCGCTAATTTTTGCTAATAGTCGCGTTTATGTTGTTATGTTTATTTTTAAATCAATGCTGGTTATTTGGGGCCCAACGTAAGCTGACGTCTTGTCTGCGTATACAGTGGATGTGCTCGTGCGTTTTATTGATGCCTTGTACATATAATTTTTTTTTGTGTGCAGAACACGTTCATGTGCAGAGCACAACATGTCCACGTAGAGCGCACGCGTCTGTGTCTGTGATCAACAGTATATACAAAATACTTGTTGTTTGTGAACGAGCGCCCCCGTGCCCTTGTGAAATGCCTGCCTGTTTTGTGCTCCGATGGTGAAATTCAATGTATGCTTTCACCTGAATTAAGTGACCGCACGTGTTAAAACTTTTGTTTCTGAATAAACGACATTGTTTGCCGCCCTGCACAGGTAGTCCACCAGAATGCGAAAATACATGTTTTCATGGCGAAAGCACTAGACCTCTCCGTACGAACCTTGTAATGTCTTTGTGCATGCTATGCCTTATAACCTCAGTGAAGGTCGATTCGTCTTCCTTCTCACACGCACGCTCTCATGCAACGAAAATGCGCTGTGTTGCTTTGTCCTCTCTGATGGTCGGGGAGAGCCGCGAGGGGGCGGGCATGCTAGCTAGCCTCGTGACCTCCAGCCCTGTCACGTGACGCCTACACGACATTAGGACCACAAATATTAAAAAGTGTATTGCTTTCCGCGAAGAGATGCCACACGCAGGACACTACAGCGGCATGCTTTCGCGGTAGCTACTGAATCGTCTTCCTGATTTTTTTAATAAACGGAAGCCTGCGTCACAAGGGTCAGATCTCAGGGATTGATGGGAGGCTGCTCCACCAGAAATATGCGGCATTCTAAACCAAAACAAGGAAACATGTGACCTTCTAGACTAAAATACAGAAATATGTGGCCTTCTAAACTAAAACACAAAAATATTTGGCCTTGTGGATCATAACACAGGAATGTCCAGCCTTCTAGACAAAAACGCAGAAATATGCGGCCATGTAGACAACCCTGATAGTCCACTGACATCCTGCTTTCACGTCTACCTCTTATGCGTCTTCCGCGTGCCAAGTTAAAAGGAATGCCTAGCACTGCAGCCACATCGACAACATAGCGCGATGCACGAACTCGAAATGCCTGACCTGTTTTTCCCCCAGCAGCTCCACCAAAATATAATGCAAACACTGGACAAAACGAAGCAGCGGTGTCGCAACAGTAGCGGCAAGAACAAGACTTGCGTGGCAACATCGCACCAACTAACATGCCAGGAAGCTCCAACTCGTGCCTTGAGAACAAATTTCTTGTGCGTTCCGCAAGCGCTGATTGACTGATATGACCGCTTTGACGTCGTAAATCCTCCATACGATTATGAGTTATTCAGCAAGTGTTTAAACTTTGGCCCAGTCAACGGATTATGTGAGACAGACAGACAGACAGACAGACAGACAGACAGACAGACAGACAGACAGACAGGCAGGCAGGCAGGCAGGCAGGCAGGCAGGCAGGCAGGCAGGCAGGCAGGCAGGCAGGCAGGCAGGCAGGCAGGCAGCCAGATCAAAATTTTTTTGTTCAGTTATGCCAAGAAAAACTATCCTCATTGACAATGTGGGCAGCTCCACACTATACTTCGTTTTACAAGCTGTTGGCAGTGCTGCTATGCCAAGAAAGACTATCCTCTTTAACAATGTAGGCAGCTGCACTCTATGCTTCGTTTCACAAGCTGTTGGCAGTACCGCCAAAAAGCTCTCTTCCAATCAGGGTTGTTTGAACACGGCAAATAGTCCCACGAATGTTTTAGAAATTCAATGCTAGTTTGCTGTTTACAAACATACAAAATGAAAAAAACGGATTACCATTCGTTTCCTGAAGCATGTAGAGCCCTTTATTCGTTAGTTCATATAATAGAAAAAGCCCGCAAGGATGCATCCCTGCGGAGACTTGTCGTGGGGTAGGGATGCTTCACCGTTCGGAAACGTGTCACGCGAGTCGGTTCGTCTCTACAACATGCCCCTCAAGCGGTGTCGCCAGCGAGCCCATGCACCCATTGTGTGTGTGCGCTCCACTTGCTAGCGAGCAGGGGTATATATATATATATATATATATATATATATATATATATATATATATATATATATAGCAAGTAGGGGGTAGGAGTAGGTGGTATATATATATATATATATATATATATATATATATATATATATATATATATATATATATATATATTATGAGCGCAACAAGTGAATGACTCTTCATTCTCTTTAGATATCATCATCACCTGTGCATCTTCATCATCTGTAAAAAATATCATCACCAGTGAAATTTAGCTCGAGCCTGCCTGCATAAACCGGTTCCTAACAAGTGGTGGACGGTGCTTTTCGTTCCCTCAAGTCCTCCGCCCGTTCTCGCTGGAGCTCCGCTCGGGTCGTCGCATACAACCCCCTGCCATGGCGGCCAAGGAAAACCCTGGCCCATCCAACGTCGCTGACCTACTGCAGCCACCGCCACCCACTCCGACCAACAACATTCGCCTGCGTGATCCACCTTTGTTTTCTGGGCTCCGAGGCGATGATGTCGAAGACTGGATCCAAAACTACGACCTCGTCAACGATTTTAACAGGTGGGACAATCCACAGAAGTTGCGCAGCGTCCCATTTTACTTGTCCGATGTGGCGAAAACTTGGTTATTGAACCACCACCTGGATCTTCCCGACTGGGACACTTTCGAGCAGCAAATTCGTCAACTATTTGGTGCCCCTACAGTTCGCACTGAGGCAGCAAAGAAGAAGCTCGCTGAACGCACGCAGCTGCCGGGTGAATCTTACACCTCTTATATTGAGGATGTCCTTGCACTATGCAAGCGTGTTAACACCGTCATGTCCCAGAAGGACCAAATACCCCAGATTATTAAAGGCATTAACACCGTCGCCTTTAATGCCCTCGCCACGCAAAATCCTGCCACCACCCAGTAAGTGATAACCATTTGTCAGCGACTTGACGAGCTTCAGTCTCTTGGCCTCGGCTCCGATGCCACCGACATTCGTTTTCCTGCTCCCCTCGACTTGCGTGCGCTTATTCGCGACATCGTTCGTGAAGAGCTTCACGGGCGCTGCTCTTCCTGCGCTACGGAAGTTACTCTCCCTTCTGAAAAAGATAGCTTGCGAGACCTGATTAAACAAGAGATCGCGTCCACATCGCGTCCGACGCGTTCCAACGGTCCCTGCGTGCGCCAGACACGCACGTACGCTGAATTTGCCGCACTCTCTGCCACACCCACCGTTTCTGTGCCTACACCAGCACACCGGACGGCTGTAGCTTCGTTGTCACCGCCAGTGCGTGCACCACCTTATTACGCACCTCAGCGCCCACCTCGACCAATCTGTCACTACTGCGGCTATCGAGGACATATTGTTCGGTTTTGTCAAAGGCGCCAACAAGACGAGCAACGCGGCTACGCTCCAGAAGGACATCGAAGCTTCTGTCTGACCATGAACTACCTACGACCACCCTCTCGATCGTCCTGTTATCGTTCACCGTCTCCTACCTACCATTCTGACATGCCTGGGAATTCCCGTACATCTCGCCGCAGGTCGCTTTCGCCAGGTCGCCGTTCAGTGTCGCCTCGGCGGCCCGCCTCCCATTCAACGAACGCCCACACGGAAAACTCCCGATTGCAGTTTTACGAGGGGAAACTGCATCCACTGGACAGCTAACAATTCCTCCAGAGCGGCCATCGAATTTGGTAGTAGTGTTTGTAGAAGGTGTATGCGTTGACGCTCTTGTAGACACTGGCGCTGCCGTTTCGATTATTCGTGCTGATTTTTGTTCCCGCTTTCGAAAAGTCACCACGCCTTATGGCGTGGTGACTCTCTGTGTGGTGACCTATCCGTGCGGTGACCAACGCTCTCATCCGTCCACTTGCACAGTGTACCATTCGTGTCTGCATCGAAGGCATTCGTCATCACATCGTTTTCGCGGTATTTCGTGAGTTCACCTACGCTCTCATTCTGGGTTGGGATTTCTGGTATTCTGCGTCCGCTTCCATATCTTGTCATCAGCGCCTCCTGCATCTAAATGCCACTGACTCTTCTCCGCTTGAACACGAGGGACGCATCCGCCTTGTCACCACGTCAGATCATGTACTTCGGCCACACATCGAAGAAATTATAAGTGTTAATTGCACCGACATTGTGGATGTTGACGTACTAATTCTCCCTTACGGTCATACCCTACGTAGGGGCAATGTGATCACACTAGGGCTTATTCGCTTCTTCGATGGGTCTACCTACCTAGCCGCCATAACTCAAACACCCGAGTGTGTACTGCTCCCCTGTTGCTTAAAAGTATCTTGCGCGGTCGACAGTGAGCCTGTTGCGATTGTTACTCTTCCGAACGGCCACCACAACGATGTCCTAAAGTCACAATCACTGCCATTCATTGCCTCTTTCACACCTGTGTCGGCAACCGTAAGCACTGACTTAACACCTGATCAAACTGAAGATTTGCTCACCTTGTTGAATAGACACCGTTCTCCATTTGACGCGAACTCGCCCGCTCTCAGCATGACTACCACCGCTACTCACAGCATCCAGACTGACGGCTCTCATATTGTACATCGGCGTCCATATCGCGTGTCTCAGGCAGAACGCAAGATCATCGAGGAAAACGTCTCAGACATGCTACGACGCAACATCATACGTTCTTCCTCGAGTCCCTGGTCATGCCCAGTTGTTCTCGTTCAAAAGAAAGATGGGACAGTGCGTTTCTACGTCGATTACCGTGCGCTAAACAAAATAACGCGCAAGGATGTTTATCCTCTCCTACGGATCGACGATGCACTGGATTCATTACAGAGCGCAGAGTATTTCTCTAGTTTCGACCTTAGGTTAGGCTACTGGCAGATACCAATGTTGGAGTCTGATAAAGAGAAGACCTCCTTTTTAAGGCCAGATGGGTTGTACGAGTTTAATGTGATGCCTTTAATGTGTACGAGTTTAGCGGATTGAGCGCGGGCACTTACCGATGGCTATCTATCCGCAGCTAGCGACGTGTGGGACCCGCTGGCTCCAGACTGCGCACTGGTGTTGATTGTAGGAGGAGGAGGAGGAATACACTTTATTATAAGAAACCAGCTGGCATAGGGGGCCGGACCTAGGCCTCCCATGAGAGCACATCAAGGGCTTGCCTCGACGCCGCCTCACAGGCGTGTTGGGTCGCCCAGGTTTGGTCGTCAGGAGCGGGGCTCCGCAGAGCCTTAAGGAGCTTCTACGAAAGGGTCGTGACGTTAGTGTGTCTGTACTGTGCCGGGCACTCCCACAGCATGTGCGGTAGCGTAGCCGGATGAGTGCCGCACCACCGACAGTGGGAGGTTGTCTACACGTCCGGGAATATGA